GGGAAAAGCTGACCAGAGCTCATGGGGCACACCAGCCAAGGAGCTTTGAGGCAGGAAATCATTAACCTTCTCCATGAAGGCATTCAACTGGCCAATCCTTTTGTTATGAAGGGCACAGCACTGGTGCATGTTGTTGCAACTCAGGCAGTTTTCCTCGCAAAGTGTTGTTGCAGTCAAGGATGCTAGTGCTTCATGTAATTTAGGGACTGGATAGTGATAAAGCTTGCTGGAACTAATGGGATAACCAACAATCCTGAAGGTGTAATGTGGAAGAATCCCAAAAGCACAAAGCACACACATGAGAAGTAACCTTCTTCAGAAGGATGCTTCTATCCTCACAGAAGAGACTTGTAGAAAGAGTCTGACACAATACATGTAGCACATCTGACCGTCAGAAGCAGCACATGCTCCCAAGAGGCGCATAAAACCAATCTGCAGACTTAAGTATATCAGCACTTTTGACACAGAGATCACAGAAGGAGAGAATTACCAAATGCCCTTTCCTCAGGTCATGAGCAGGTTAAATTCTAGAAGAAAAATAGGACTATCATGGATAAGCCAAAAGTGCTGCATCTTGATCAGTTACAGCATTCTTTCCTGACTGGCAGAACATGAAAGTTCAAAAATAAGAGGTAGCAATTTCGCATTTTAATTGGCACAATTGTAGAAAATGCTACTTGGCAAGTATCAGGTATTATGTCTAACAGACTAAGCATTTGTCTACCACAGACTTCCTTTGTATTACAAAGCAATAAATAGACATGATGTTACCTTAAATGGTATAAATGTCACCTTGTGGAAAAGATAAGTGATGGCTGAAATGAAGTTGAACTTGGCAAAGATAATGCAAACAAGAGGATACCCTAAGCATCACCGATGACTCCACTGCATGAATAGCATGATTCTGACTTGTAATAAAATCTCGTGCTATTGTTCATATGTGCATAAAATGCCCTTGCAGTGAAATATATACACTCACATGTTCTGTCCCACAAAATTGTGCAAAAGAGAAATTAGTGCCATCCATAGGTTAAAGCCAGAAAGTTCTGCAGACAGAACTCATGCCTCACTCAGTCTCTGTGTTTTTCAAACAGAACTTTGTGTTTTTCAAAGCTATGCACCACAGCATTACCACTGGCATCTTTCCTCTGAGGTCTTGAATACCCACTGTGAAGGTGCAGTGACCCTATCCCAAGACTAGCACATAGCCAAAGTACTCTGTTGCATTTCCCAGTACCAAGTCTAACTAATTTCTTCCTTCAGACCACTCATGCTAATTCCACCAGCATGACTAATCTCAGCTTCCATTATTATTACCTTTCATGTATTTGTGGAATAGTGTATCTAAATTACTGTAATAACTTTCAGTGTAGTTCATTCAAGTCCCTCTCTTCTGTTTCATCTTCAGATACTTTTCTGGTATTTTATCTCAAGACTCATACATCTCTTTGTCTCCTTTCTTTTCATTATATGTATCATTTCTATTTAAATCCCGAATTGTTAAGGCCAAAGCAGTACAGGTTTTACGCCATTTACCCAAGAGTGGTGACTACATAAATTTGTTTAGAGGTAGGTTAGCACCCTCTGGTGTATCATTAGTGTACTGCAAATTTTCTTTAAGATTAAAGAAAGCTAAATTATCACCAAAGCGAGAAAAAATCACTGAAGAGGGATGCCTAAGAGATGAATACAGAGAAAATGCTGAACTAAGTATTTTTCAACTATTTTTTGTGTGCATGCAAATAGTAAAGGCATTGAACTTGGCAAAGAGATTATTGACGGCTTTTTTTTTCCTTTTTTTTTTTTTTCTAGAAATTATTTTGTATGATATGAAAATCACTTAGATATAAGTTTCATAATTTTCACACCATAAAGTCATTAATTTGTGGACTTGAATTTTCATTTTACCTGAAATGACATGCAGGAGTGTCACTCAGAGGCATTTCTGTTCAATATGTACAGATTTTATGTGACTTATTTTTGACTCAAATGATATTCTGTTTTCTCATCAAAATACATTTCAAAGCTGCAAAATCTCCAAAGATGAGTGGTATGTTGTTTTTTTGTTTGTTTGATTGTTTTGTTTTGTTTTTCCTTCAGGATTGAACTGTGGCTTCAAATAGATTAGGTAGTGCCTATTAAGTAGAAGACATTATCAGATACTAGGAAGTAGTTCAAAGCAGAAGAAAATTTATATACTCATTTTTATATCATATATCTTTGATGAGATGTTCCAAGTCCTCTTCTCAACCTACAGACACAAAACATGCTCTACCTAAGCAAAGCTTTTACCACAGAAAAGAAGTGGTGAAGATTACAAGAGTCATCAAGATCATTACTGAACTGTGTGCAAATCCTTCTGGTTAGCAGCAATATGGAAATCATTCTGCTCTGTGGGTGTACTTATGTTTGTGGTGTACTTTATGTTTGACAGCACGCATTTTTTATTATCATTAATTTTGTCAAACTACTGTCTCTGAAAGCATATATGATTCTTTCCTATATGATTCTTTCCAGTGACTCTTCAGTCAAGTCTTATTTATAAAGACAACTTTGTAACTTTATCAACTTCAAATTCTGTCTTCCTTTACAACCATACAAATTACAGCAAACAAACAAAGAAACAAACAAAAACTTCTGTCTTTGGGTGAACTAGCATTCTGCTTCAGCAAAACAAACAAAAAAAACCACCTTTATAAACCACTTTCTATTTTAACCTTTATTTTAGGTCAAGCAAAACATTTTAACCCAAAAGAAGTTGTATCATTTACTTAGTGGACTTGATCTCAAAAAACAGCTTGTAGCTTAACTATTTTTAAAATAGACCGGGAAAAGTTAGGGCCAAAACAAAACAAAGGTGCTCATTTGATTAGTCATTCATACCAAAATTTTGCCAGATATACACAGTAATGATGGGAATTTCAATGGAAGTTATTCTCAAAAGAAAAAGGAGGCATTCTGGCACCCTCGGTTCAGAGCATCAAGTTGCTATTCTTGTGTGTAAGTAAAGGCAGTCACTGGCACAATACATCTGTTCATACCAGTTCCCCCATTTCATTGCATTTTGGGAAGATGTTATTGCTACCTAACTCAAATGGTAAACTGCTTGGAGTGTGGCATAGTGTTTTGAGCTTGGCAGAGCCTGCTAGGAGGTAATATCCCTCAACCATACACTATTAATCAGTGCAAACTGGTGATGTGTTGAATAAGAACACAAATTTGGATTTCTGGAATCAAATGTTCATAAATTATTATTTTTTTTTCAGGAGTTGGGCATATATATACAAGCACAACTACTTAAAAACAGTGTTCTGCTGCAGTTCACTGCATTCACAGCAAGATGTATTCATTAAATATAAAAGCAAAAAATTGTCTTAACACAGTTAATAAAGGCTGTTTATTTTTACAATATATTTTAAACCAAAATTTCTTTAAAAAGCCAGAGCTTTTTGTACTCTTGCTTAATGCTACTGTAGATGGTAATCAGCAAGACCAGCAATGTTTTAAATACATTATTCAAACTGGATAGTTAGCTCTTTTATGTCAGTTTTATATTTTATAGAAATTACAAATACTTTGATATCCAGTGACTGTATACAGTTTTTCCAGATGCTTATCAAACAAAACAAATCGCAGATGTTTGCTTATCTTTCTGATGTATGTCCTCCAAAATTAGCTGATCCTATAATAAAAATACAAATAGAAATATTTTTAATAAGTTTAAAGGAAAACTTTATTCATGTAAATTATTTTGGGAACTTAGTCAAGGAAAGGGGAAAGTAAAAAATAGCAAAATTTAAAAATACAAAACATACATTTTCATGAGAACTTTTATACAGCTTTTTATGAATCTAAATATGCTCCTTTTTATGTAAATAATATAACCAGATTTCTCCTTTTGTAGAAGAATATGCTACACAAGCAAATGTCCAAAGTAAATATTATTGTTCTGCATCTGAACCACAATTAGCTAGTAAACATATAACTCAAAGAAGACCAATACTAAAGTTCCATATAGCTGCTTTTATTCTAAAAATGTAAACTACATTTATTAATGTAGTTTTATACTCCATTATTTACAGAACCTATCAGGCTCATGCATTATTTCAGATGCAGTATTCCAGATTTAAACAATTACGAGGTAAACTTTCACTGTCTATGGGTATTCATAATTTGAATATGAGTGAATTTCTTGAAACATTGTTATTTTGGTTTCGTGATATTTCCTTATATCTACAGAACAGCTTGTCTATGCACTCAAAATTGCTTGGCATGTGTTATTCCTGGAATAGAAAGGTCACGTTTACAAATTTAGACTAAAAAATTCTTTACAGAAGAATTAATGTGAATAAGTTTTCACTTGTTATGTAAACTTTGCAATACAAATAATTGATCTGCCCAAATTAATCTTCTACACACACATCTCTTAAGCCGGTATCTATGTAACTACTTTTGCTAGCTTTGTGCTGCAACAATTATTACCCTAGAGTAATTCATTTTTTACAGTAACATTCAGATATTGATTCCCATTGACGATCTGTTTTGCTGTGACTACGGAGTCACTGCACTTCTACCACTAATGCTTTTCTTTTTTCTGCTCTTTACTTGAGACTTGCTGCAAGATTAGATTTTCCAAATAATTTAGAAATTGTATTTTTATAGAAAATAATTAAGGAAATCATCAAATTTAAACCTCTTAAAATAGTATTGAGGTATGAAGCAAGAACATATTTTCACAGCAGATACTCTATTTTAACAAAGGGCTAAGGCTGATCATAAATATAAATTTTCTTCATATTTTGCCGATAGCCTACTTCCAATTTTCGAATATAATTTTAGTCTTGCGTAATTTATTTCTTATTTACTGTTATCCCACCGTATTTATTACTAAAGTACTTATTTACTGTTCTCCAGGAAATCAGTAATAAACATACGTTATGCTGATATTTTTCAGGAAAAACTGTTAAATGTTGTTATATGATAAAATATACTTGCCTAAGTGTTGTCTTTGTAGAATTCCAGAGATGGTGATAGGATGTCTTGTTACAGATGATTGTGGGGAAGGTGATGTAAGTGGATACAATGGAGGCGTTCTGAAATCAGAAGCAGTCCATGATCCCCTTCTACTGCATTGTGATCCAGATGGTGATATAAGCGAATATCCATTATGTGGTAGGCTTACAGGTGTGGATCTATCAATGAAATTAATTCATGGATAAGATTTGATGTTCCTTTCTCAGAACAACAGACATCAAAACCTTTTAATTTCATATTGCTAACATTTTAATTAAAAATACCATACTTTCTTGTGTTCTATAGATTCCTTATCTGATTTTTAGTTATATAGTTTATATAACTAAATACATATATATATATAGTATGGTTATATATATATACTTATTGTAAGTAGCAGGACAAAACAAGAATCAGTGATGGAAAAGAAGAAATATTATGTTATATAAATATTAAATTTATGCTAGAGAATTATACTGGGATTAATAACTATAGACTACAATAGTACTTTTTACTGACTGAAAACCATTTTAAGTTGTTGTGTTTTGTTTTTTTTTTTTGATGGTAACAATACTTACAAACAGATATTTTCAATATTTAGATGCAAAACTTGAAAAATTGTGACACACAGCATAAGGATGTTCAAGTTCTTCAGAGAACAGCTGTTATGTAGATACCATGCTGTCATTTTTGACTTTCAGAAGAGTTACAGAGAAGCTGTTCCACTTCCTTAGTATAAAATTACTGCTCTTTGTATAGAACTATCATGACTGAGTATGTCCACAGTTACAAAAACAGATTACCTCTGCACATTTTTAAGAAAGTAATTTCAAAATATAACCTTCCAACAATAAACAAATTCATATAGGTGACAGCTAACTTGCACAGTAACATTTCTTCAGACATAGAATATAGCCTTTAAATGTGCAGATTCATAAAGACCAGGCAAGAGTCCAAATTCAGTATCTCATGAGAGACTATAACATCTTTAAAAGGTTTTTAATTACCTTGTAGATCCTGCTTTATTTTGACTTGATGTTATTCCAGATGACTGAGAACTTCTGTAGGATACACTACCTGTCAGAATTACATTTTTGAAAACAGGACCAAAATTAATTACATACTTTATTTAAGAGATCACTTTGGAAAAAAAAAGGATTAATATCTGGCACAAATTCATGATCAGTTTATTCAAGAATGAAAAAGGGTGCAAAAATACAACAGAAAATGAAAGATAAGGAATTGGTTGACTAAATGAAGTCAACATGTCACTTCAGAAATGATCAAAATAGCCCTAAAAATAATTCCGTTTTGGAAGGGATGTAGCACAAACAAGGCATTACTGACGCATGCTTTGTCTTCTTGCTGGAAGAAGCTCCAGCAGAAGTGAAAACTATCAGAACTACTCAGCAGCACTCCAGTGATGGTAAAGGTGAAAAACTGTCTTTAGTCTCAATAGATTAATTCCTACATAGAATTTAGCTATCACAAAGATATCATATTGCACCATTCCTTAAAATCTTTTCCAAGTTTAACACAGGTATGTTGGTTTCCTTACCCTACTCTCACTGATTAGATTAATACAATAGTTTTGAAGTATTTCAATTCCTCAGCTATTGTTTTTGCCCCATTAATCTCCTATAAAGAAATCTTCCTTACTTTACCATTGCATCATTGTTTCTACTTGCCCTTACCTTTGCAAGTATGCTTCGATTCATGAAGTTTATCCACTGAAAAACTTTCCGGGTTGATTCTGAAATGTGCTGAGCACATAACTGTCTTATAATTTTACTATCTAATTAAATATCTATTTATATTTAGACACACATGCAAAAATTATGTAGACTCTGAATATCTTGTTAATTAATAAATTAGTAATTTAATAGGCAAACATGCATTTAGGAAGGATCTGAACATATAAATGAGATGCAATATAGAAAAAGTCATTTTCACTCCTTCATTACAATTATATTACAACTGCATTGCAATTTTAATTATTATCCTTGTTTCAGGTCTTTTATACCATGAGAAAATATGAGTGCAAGAAGTTCCGTATGTGGCTCTTAACTACTGGAGCCAGCTGTAAGAGTGCCTAGAATACTACAGAAGCACACTGAATGTAAAACTGAGAATAGGAGGGACACATAAATGGTAGACCTGCAAAGCACTAGAAATTCAGGGAAACTCCTCACAAATAAACAATGCCCAAAGAAATTGCACTACTTTCAATAGGCTGCCATTCATGTCTTATTTACCCAAGAGCTGCCCAAGTGTTACCCAAGATCTTCAACAGACAAGGAACAAAAGGCAGTACAGGCAGATAAAACGTCTTCCACCCTAATATAGTGATATCATGCCTAAAAAATAAATCACCTCACCTGAAGAAATTCTACTGTAATTCAAATTAATTTCCTTACTTTTGTTACAAGATATTTTTCTAGTTTCCTAGAAAATTTAGTTTCCTCTCTTTTCCTCAAGAGATTTTTAACATGATTTTATGGACAATATTAACCTCTGGTAACTATAAACCGGTATAATCACGAAGGCTAGTGGAGGGCCAACACATACTGCAAGCATGTATGTTCTCTTCAACCATACACAACAAAGTATTTTCTTTGCAAATGTTGACTATGGTTGCTCAGCAAATATCATTTTGGTTACCAGAAATTATTCACAGAACTGGGTAGGCAAGTATGGGGAAGACTTACTTCTTTCTTCATTTTTAACTATTTCCCATCTGCTTGATTGATGTCTATATGGTAAATTCTTTACACCTCAATATAATTCAAGTTTGCTCAATAAATTGCTAATGTATGGATTTTAATTTTTTAGTCTTCTTAAAGAAATACAATTTTTTCCAGTTACAAACTTTAGTCTTACATACCCATACGTCCATCTTGAGGAGGAGTTATTAGTGATAATCTTATTGGACCAGTCCCTGTCTCAGGCTAAATGAATAGTATAGCATTAATTATAGCGTACATTGATTATTAAGGTATTTTAAGCAACAGCTGTACAGTTTTCAGGACTATAAACTTGAAGATTTTTGTCATTCTCTACAACCAGGTTTGTTCATGGCACTAAAATGCCATGAAATAAAACCTCAGAATTAAGTTACTGTAATAAATTATAAGTAATTAAGATAGTAATACACTTGTTAATGCCCCTGTGCAAAGCCTGCTGCATGATCACCTGGTCAAGCAATGAACAAAATGTTTATGAAAGGTTAAAAAAAAATGACTGTCATAGTACACGCCTGAAAAACACTTTTATCCATCATAAATGGAATTTCGGGAATGCTTGGAAAGCCAGAGTGCCAAGCGTGCCAAGTGATTCACCACTTTAACTTCAGATACTTCAAATGGGAGCATCTACATCTAATCTGATCACCTTAAATGCATTTTATAGTCAAGGAGAGAACAACGAATGAATATACTTTAAAATGAGATAAGTAATTATAGTATATAATATATAATATATAATTATATAAATATAGTTATAAGGATCATAATAATTCATAGGTTACACCTAAATTCATAGTTATAATTGATATAACTTATCCATAGGTTATAAATCAAATCCTGGGATGCTAGCTTAGATTTCCACTGGAGCCATCTACATGAGGTCTGGTCTTACAAACATTCCCAGTCTTTAACATATTATAAATTGAATTTAATCCCAAATCTATTTCATCGAATCATAAAATTATTTGGGTTGGAAGAGACCTTAAAGACCATGAAATTCCAACCCCTCTGTCATAGGCAGGGACACATTCCACTAGACCCAGTTTATCTATTAGTAACATTTCTCTTGAAAACAGTTACAACACTTTTATAATGAAAGTGAGGTTTCAAGAATTTGTCATTTAATTTACCAACAGACCTTTAAAACTGTATAAGCTGTCTGGACATAGTCCTGGACAGCTGGGTCTAGGTGGCTCTGCTTGAGCATGGGGGTTGGACAAGATAACCTCAAGAGGTCCTTTACAACCTCAACTATTCTGTGATTCTGTGATATGGCACGTGGAGAATAGAATTCTAGAAAATGGTGTTTTTTTCTATTTTGTTCCATTCTGGGGGTTATTTGACTTCTATTAAACATCAACCATAATTGAAATTAGCATGGACATAAGAATTGGTTTGAATTGGAGGTAGAGGGGAAATGGTGGTCTTCTTTTACAGTATTAAAAGGATTGGAGAAACCAAAACCATGTAAATACATATTTAATACATACATATATACAAAAAAACCCTTACCTTCCTCATTGGTGAAGGTAAAGGATCAATCTCCATTGGCTCCATTCTTACAATAAAGGTCAAAATAAGTATGACATTGTAATTAAAAATAACAAATTCTTTATAACGACTAACATTGTGTTATATTGTTATGTTATATTTGACTAATAATACAAGAACATAGTATCTAACACATAACACACATAAGTATATAGGACATGTTCCAAAACCCTCTATGGGTAAGAAAAATACATTATTTGATTCTTTGAGCTTTGATTTAGACATTTACAAAAAACTTTTTTTTTATGATTAACATTATTCTTATATTTAAATCTACATATAAATATATAAGTATATAAATATTTGTCACTTGTCTACACAATATGGGCATTCTATTTTTTTAAAATTAATTAGTCACAGCAAAAGAAGTCTTGTAGCTTGAGCAAGCTGCATATTTAATTTATTTAACATTTTACGAGCGTTGAATGTCTTAATGGAGGTCATCCCATCTAACTTTAGACAGCTACATTGTAAACATAGCTGTCTGTACAAGCCATTTAGATTTCCCCTACAGTTAACGGGAAGAGTTACTCACCAATCAATCTATCTATCCAGAAAATCTTTAAAATAAGGTGCATCATGTCTCAGATTTTTTTTCTAGAGAGTACCAAGGCAATCTATACAACTAGCTGTTATGCACACTAGAGTAGATATCCCCACTTCTTTTATGCTGACAGAGTTTACAGAAACAAACAAACAAAAAATCATTTTAAACTCACTATAAAAGAAGTGGCTTTGTGTATAAGGTGTTAGTGTGTTGTCATTGTTAAGATTTTCATTGAAAATCAATGGATTTCCACCTACGTTTCAGAAGTTGAAGGATGACTAGGTTGAAGAGAACATGAAGAGTAGCCATTCGGTCTTCTTGAAGGAACTAAAGTTATTAATAAATTTAATATTAGAACATTGCTATATCCAATGATACGTATTCCATAGTTAGTATCTTAAAACAGCATTTCTTACTGGAAAGTGGGTTTCTACTTGTACTGGAAAATGGCAGTGGAGTAGTTTGTTGAGGAGTTTTCATACTAAAAGTGAAAGGAAAAAAAAACGGATGTGAATTGAAAGCTCTTTTGGTTAATTCATTTTTCTAACTGGTCAATATCCAACTGGTCAATATCTAACTGGTACTTTATCCATTAATAGGTACATAGTAGCATAACACTCTTTGCCATGAAGCAAAATAAGCAATACATTTGAGAAGCTATTAAATTAATCTTCTCTGTGTTATAATGTCTGTATCAGTCACTGCATGCCCAACAATATCACTTTTAGATGACATGGCTTTTCATGGAACAAGACTGTATGGAACAACATGGCGATTTTATGGAACAACAGACACTAAAACATAACTATTTACTACAGTTGTGATAAAAATCTTTACCTTGATGTATATATATTCCCATCTTTTAAAAATCTAGTTTTCAAAGGGAATGTTGGCACATTTATGCTATTCACCAACAGCTATGTAAAATGGAGATTTTCTCAATAACCATAAATAAGAAGAACCTGCCTACTGGCTATGCACGGAGAACCCCTAGGTCACACTGTCTTGATAGAATTTTGTGAAAATCTGAAATTCAGTAAGAATTCTGTTGTTGATATAACCAAGGTGCTGTTTATGTGAGATGCAAACAATGAAAAGGAGACAGTAGATAGAATCATATTTAGACTATGAAAATCCACCATATACCTAGTTACTTTGAACTGTGCTTCTCTCAGTTATATTACACCAAAGCACCATAAGAGAGCATAATGCAGTACTATTTGCATGTCATAGTCAAAAGAAAGCCTAAGAAAGAAAAAATATTTTGCAATTAAATTGCTGGTTTTGTGAACTGTCTTGTCAAGGAGATCTCAGGATCCTTATTCACTGGTATACATAAAAGTGACATTATGGAGAGGGGCTCCTCTGAAGAAGATGGATCTACAGGGAGTACAACATTGTAACTAAACACCAAGAACTCTAAAGCAAACCAAGCCTGTCAAGTACTTTTCCAGTAGTTTTTGAAGTTTTTTTAAAGTAACTACTGATTTGAAAGGATTCCTTCCTGACAGGCTTGATTAATGTGAAGAAAATGAACCTGATGACAGAAATCATTGCTCATTCACCTCTGCAAAAATATTATTCTTCTATTTATACAACATGATATATAAGAGAAAGGCAAACAAAGCAATTTTTTATCGTTTAACAATGAAATCTACTGTAGTCTGATTAAAAAGAATATTTGTCATTTACTTTCACTGCATTAAACCTCTTACCATTGTATCTGATGCATTTGTTGTGTTGCTTTCCTGAGAGATTCCTCCAGCTTTATTCTCTGTGACATAAAGATTTAAACAAGCTCTCTTTGTATGATATACAACTTCATTTTCATAAAACCAGCATTCTAAAGTGTTGAAAGGTTGTATTTTATTGCTTTTAATCCTAGGTATAATTGCTATTCCAGACTTATTAGGTACAATGGGGTAAGATTGGAGCTGTTATATGGATATATTACCCAGCCAGTCTGAAAACGATAAGCTGCTTTTTAGCAGCTACAGACTTAGTTTGATTATCTTTTCTTAAGAAGTGTAATACTGGATAAATTAATACCAAGAAAAATGCTTAAAATAGTTTGCTTCTATTTTTCTTTCTCTCTTCCATATCTGATATGCTATGCTCACTAAGCCACTTTCAATAATTTACTAGCAGTCCTGGCTAACCAGGGAGGTCCCAGTTGACTGTAGGTTGACAAACATGACTCCAATCTGCAAGAGGGGCAGGAAGGAGGATCCAGAGAATTACAGGCCTGTCAGTCTGACCTTGGTCCCACAGCAGATGATGGAGCAGATCATCTTGTGTGCCATATGATGGCACATAAAAGTGATCAGAAGCAGCCAGCATGTGTTTATGAAAGGCAGGTCATTCCTGACTAACCAGATCTATGACAAGATGGCCTGCTTAGTAGAGGAGGTAAAGGCTGCAGATGTTGTTTACTGCAATTATAGTAAAACATATGACACTGCTTCCTACAGTATTCTTCTGGTGAATGTGGCTGCTCAGAGCTTGGACAAGTATACAGTTGACCGGGGGAAGAACTGACTGGATGGCCGGGCCAAAGAGTCACGGTGAATGGAGCTCAACTCAGTTGGTGACCGTGGGTACCAGTGGCATTCCCCAGGGCTCATTCTTGGGGTCAGTTTTGTTTAACATTTTTATCAATGATCTGGATGAGAGAATTGAGTGCAACCTCCAAGTGTGCACATGGTACCAAGGTAAGCAGGAGTGTTGATCTGCCTGAGGATAAAAAAGCTGCAAACAATGCTAAACAATCTTAGAAACATCAAAGATACATAAGTTTTAGTGCATTTTGTACTATCATCTGGAAAATATACTAATAACATTATTTCTAAAACACCAAATACTGTAATGTCCATATTTCCCGTTACAGATCCAAAATGTATTCAGTTCTTGGCAGTATCTATTTGTAGTAAGATTATGTGAAGAGTATTTCCTATTATTTTATAAACACAGCCAAAAAATAATTCAATTAAAGAATGTTACCAGCTTGGAAAATTAAAGAGTCCAAAGAATATCAGGCTAACTCCCTAGTATGTGTATTTTTTTACAGTTATGCATTACATGATCATACACAATTTTTATGCAGGATGGAAAAATTTATTCAATAGCCTCCATACTGCATTTGCATTTTATCCTCAATTTCCTGTGTGACTTCAGATCTCTGCTACTTCACACTATTATATTTTGATTTGAAGACAAGTTATACATTTTCTTGTTAACTTTTCATGCCTTCACAATATTTTTTTTAAATTCTTTTAAAATATTTCCTTCTTTATAAGATCACACTGTTTGTGGGAGATATTATGTGCTTTTGCAGGTGTGAAACTGCACAACAGATCAAAGACAAAAATCTAACACATGTAGGATAAGTTTGGTTTGTATATATATATTCTTTTTTCTAATGAAAGTTAGGTTTGATTAAGAGAATGACCAGTACAGATGTCAGGAAGAATGTACTTTACGATACCAGTCTCTAGGACTGCATCATTTCAATAACAAAATGCCTTAAAGAAGGTGAACAGCTATGTGCTTTTTAGTATTTCTCAGTTCTTACAGAACATGGGGGCTAGTCTTGTCAGGAATACAGACATCAAGTATCCACACCACATGCCATCATCTGCACCCCAGTATTTCTGAAACTCACAGAAACAGCAACAAAGCTTTTATCAAGGTCATCAGAGCTGTTGGCTGACAGTGAAAATAATGACAGACTAGAAATAAGGAAAGGAACCACAAACAAGATAGGCAAGCATGAGAACCCCCTTTTGTGAATTGCCTTATGCAGTACTCTGCCTTTCCCAGAGGCTAAGGCCCACGGAGAGGGGGTGGCAGGAAGAATCACTTGTGTCAAAGGGGAGACTTCTGCTTCCTTAGTTTCCCAGGAGTCATTGCCATTTACCAGACTGTTAATGCTGTAAATCATTCTTGCTCCATCCTTTTCCCACTCACCTCATCTCAAAGCCAGTGTCAGGAAGCCTCAATGGTTATAAACCTGAGTGTGAGCATCTATTCCCACTCTGCCATCCCAAATGCCTCTGCCTGATGTGATCTACCCTTCTCTAGCCACTTCAGACTCCCCATCAGTAGCCTTGAAAGAGGGAGCATTGCTAACTGAAACTCACAGAAAGGGGATGGGTATATGATCACAAAAGGAAATTCTTCAACCCTTGCTCACCTCACCCTCACTGTCAAACCATTTCTCCACCAAAACAGCCTCACCAATACTAGCCATTGCTTCAGATAGAATGTTTAAGACAATCAGCCTCTTCTCACCCAGAAACGATGAAAGTAGTTTTAAAATAATAAAATGAAAAGGAAAAACAAGAAAAGCACCTCAAACAGTGTGCCATTGAAATAAAAACCAGCCAAACTTTCAGCTCTCTCTACCCTGGCACCTGAACATCTTCTCTAGGTCAAGCAATCTTCTTTGGTGCTTTACAACCACTGGTGAATGAGTATCTTAACAGCAATTAACTGAGAAAGTAATCATCAAAAAGCATTAAAAAATCTTCAAAAATTCCTTGGAGATATCATTTTAATTTATGCACAGTTTTAATTTATGCACAAATCTAGTAAGAGCTTTATTTTATTTTGTCTGTAGGTCTGAGCTTTACCGTCTGGAGTCAGTGTAATAGGTTATAGGGGACCATAAACTCAGGATTCCTCCATAACCTGTCATTGAAAACAGGACTGGATCTTGAAAGAACCACCCACTCCACAGTACACCAGGACTGATCTCAAAACAAAATCATGAAACAAGGGGAGAATGGACCACATAGCACTTAAGTTTACAAGCTCTTCTGTCCATGGGAATCATATCATCTGCTCTTCTCACACACAAAATGGCCAGTTGTCCAGCTATGAGTTTGCCTCTATCATTTCATACTTAGGGTCCCTACTGATGTGTACTATGTATGCACCAGTACTATCAAATAGCTTTTAGTAAGATAGCTGGCCATGCTTAGAAATAAATGAAACAGCCACCTATTTTCATAAATATTTGGAATTTGCTGAAAAATTAAAAAAAAAAAAAAATTGGATTTCTTTCCAACCTGCAAAGCAAGAGACGTAGACACAAATTCAGTACCTGTTCCTGAGGCTGATAAATTCTATTTCTCTCTCCATTAAACTACCCTTGACTCAGGGTCTTTAATCTCCTTTCATACTGTTCAAGCTTTTCATTTAGTTTGTCAGCCCTAGACTTCTTTTTCTTTAGGCTTATCATCTTTGTACCAATCTCTCCCTGTCTCTTTCACTTTCTCCTCCATACATTGAGTTAGTTTCTTCCTTCCTGATCTTTTGACTCCTCATTTATTTCAGTCACCCAACTAGCAGCCATGTATTTAAACTATTATTAACAAAGTTCTCACATATTTTAAACAATTAAAAACTGATATTTATAATGACAGAAAGGTGACAACCCTGATAAATAATTATAAGTATTCCAATAAACGATAAATGTATTTTCTAAAACTTAACAAAAGTAATAAGGCAAACATAGCCAACAAAAAAATAAAATATAAAAATTAGTTTTACCTTTTTTCTGTGGTATGCTAATAAATGTTCACGATTTTTTTCTTGAAATTCTGAAATCTAAAAGTAAAATGGTTAGTTATATAGTTATGGAGAGCTTTATCTAATTACATTCATGTAAATCAAACAAAACTAACAAGTAGTTGAGAAGAACTACTTCACAGCACACATTTTTCTATACTTCAATAAGTATTTAACATTTCCTTTATATAACTCTTTAAATCATCTTCCAAAAAAGCATTCCAAGTCTAAGTTATTATCACTGACACGGAAAGTCTTATAAATATTAATTAATTTAGTATAACCTACTGGTAGATTTATTTCACTGAATTTGTATTTTAACACTGTTCAATATTAAGGTAAAGAAATTGGAAAGGCAGTTTACCTGAAGCGTTTCTTAGTCACTAATGTTAAGGAAATACACAAAATTAATGGCAACATAAAAAGTAATGTATCTTTCTGGCAATTATAACTTGCCTTGTAAAAATATCTTGTTAATTAAAAAACTAATTGTTAGACGCACTGTCTGATGGTGTGTAAGCACTTCTTGTTGTATCCAAATGAGGATCATAAACTATGACAGGTTAAAAGTTAAAAGAAAAAAGGTAAGCAAGACAAGAGTTTGATGAACAAGTTACAATAGGCAGAAACTTACTAATAAATCTTTCTTCTGACCTCTTAGGAGTAAGAAAAATGCCAGAAAATTTGTAGGTCCAAAGACAACCAAAACTAAATACTCGGAGAAGATAAACTTACAGTGGAATAGCTAACTGAAATGGTTACTTCTGGTTCACTGTAGAAGAGTCTGGGAGATTTCCATTCAATACTCATCAAAAGATCAGAAGTGTCTTCAGAAGAAATGATAGAAGAAACAGCCAAAAAGGAACAATAAGAATTCCCAACATCCTGTCGTTCCAAAATTCCTAATTCCTAGAAGCTAATAAATAGGCAAGTAAAACACCGGTTTAACACAGCTGAAGGAGATCATCAGAGAATTTCCACAAATACCCAGACTGGGATCTGTGCTGTTCAGCATGTTTATACATGACCTCCAGAAGAAGGTGACTAGCAAAGCTATTATTAATATTATAATAGCAAAGTTTGCTGATGATATTACGTTAATCATGTTAATGAAATTAAGTTCATGCAGTAAAGAAATTCAGAGCAATTTTATGAGACTGAATGGCTGAGTGACTGCAGTTCAGTCTAGATAGTGTGAAGTGATATACAGAGCAGAAAAAAAATATCTACATTTATTCATAAAGTAATGGTCTGTGTGCTGGCCCCTACCAGCTAGAAATGGGTCCTTGGGTATATAAAAGAACGATCTCTGAAAATATCAGTTCAGTGCTCAGTATCTGTCAAAAAAGCAAACCAGATCTTAGGAGTGGTTAAAAAAGGAATAGAATAGACAACACCATTATTTCACTGTAAATATGTGTGATGACACTGTATTCTGAGTCTTCTTAACACCTCAGAAAATATATGGTACATCTGGAAACAGTTCAGATTAATCAGAGGTATTTAATAGCATCATTACAAAGAATGACTGCATGGATTATGAGTTTTCATGTCTGCAAAAGAGACAGCTGAAGAAGGGATGTGTTAGCAGTCTAAAACGAATGAACAGCACAGATAGAGTACATATGAATAGTTGCTTTTTCCTCTTCCATGGGATGCAAGAAATCAAACAAAACTAACAAGTAGCGAGCTAAAACCTGAAAAAATGAAATATCGTCACAAAGTGTAACCTGTGAACCTCCTTTCCATATTAGGTGATAAATATTCAGAAAACAGCTTGACTATCAAATGGAGAAAAATATCCATCAAAAGCTTCTGAATGCAATGGCATCACCCTACCTTGACAAATCCCTTTGCCACAAACAGTTAAACAGTAGGATCCTGTTCTGAAGACTTATCACTGCATGACAGTCTTGCTCTCATATGCTTTCTTAAGCACCAGCTGCTGTGATAAAAATACTCTTAGATAAACCTTTGTCCTAATGCAGAACAAGCTTTTTCTTAAAGTCCTTTAATGCTGGTGGAAGTTCTGGTCATTTCTTAATGTTTTCCAGATTTTACAGGTTTTCCCTGTTTCCTAAAGGTTAACTCAAGCTACAGAAAACCTTAGACTTTTGGTATCATGTCCTACTTTTTCTTTCTCTGGCACATTACAGAAATTTATATTCAGGTGTGATTGGCGAGATAGCTGTCTGAATTTGTTCAGTTTGCATAATAACTGCTCATCTTTGTAAATGTTGCTAAAAAGTGTGTGTCTGAAAGGATCCAGGAAGGCATCTCATTTACCTTTGTGTCAGCTATGGATCTTCAGAAGATGATTGCTGAGGAAAGGGACCATGCTCAACTTTGAAGTCAGAATAGAGCAAATATGAACCCTACAGTCACTATTGCCAATGAGGAGATTCTTAAGATGAAGGGAAGAGGTGATCTTTGTTAATTTTCTACTGGATCAGCAAGCTCATCACAAGATCAATCAAGCACCAGCACAAAGGAGGTGAAAACAAATGGAAGCTGCAGGTCAGCTGAGGAAGGATGTACTACTTACAGTTCAGCCTAGAGTGGTTGAGGCTGCCACTGAAATGTTCAATAAGAGGGACAAGGATGAGAAGCAGTCTCAAAGCCAAGCTGAAGAGACAGAGAAAATGAGTATACAGTGGGAGTTTCTATGTATTTGTTTAACCCAGAGAATTACTAAAGTTCATGGACTGGAAACTAAGAATGAAAGGAATCTGTCCAGAGTTTAATGAAGGCAGGGAGAAAATTTACCTTGAAATCTTTTATTGTAGATCAGGGTTTGTTTTCACATTTTGGGAACTCTATTTTCATTATTTTTAATAAAACCTAGCTCTTGAGATCAGGAATCTGTTTACTCTCTATTTCCTTTTTTTTTTTTTTTTTTTTGAGAGAGAGAGAAAAAAAGGGGGGAAAGGGGAAAAAAAAGTGTGTGGGGGGAGCATACATCTTAGGGCTTTAGCCAGTTCAGGTTTTCACTGTGTAACTTTTCATTGCCATAATTACTGTACATTATTTGGGCCTGTTTAAGATTCTGGCAGATCTAATTTTTCATTTCACGGCATTGAAAGTGATTCTACATCACTGAAATAACCAGAACTAGTGGTCCTCAGAGAGAGCTTGAAAACATAAGCAGAGAACATGATGAATAATTTATGCTTCCAAAGAAGTTTGAAACTGTGAAATTAAAGAAGCGAAGACAGTAACAATCATACATTCATTTTCAAACATTCATTCACATGTTCTTCCCCACTTACATAAAAATCAGGAAAAGTTTCTGATTATTTTATATAGTAAAAATGTTTTAAGAGTGATTCACCTGTGTTATTTCTTTTGAATATTTCTTGCATAATGTATCTATTCCCATGAACAGTGACTGAATATCAGGACTTGTCTAGCAGGAAAAGAAAGTATACCAAGGTTAGTACTTTTTTTTTGCAAGCTATATTAAACAAAGCATTTTGTGAAGTGTTCCTTAAATTGAATGATGTACATGAATCAAAAATTGACAGATCAGGAGTAGGACAATATGGAAACTAAAAACAGTTCAGTTTTATTTCCTGTATTAAATATCTGGAAAGCTTTGTGCTTTTGTTTAACTATATTAGACACAAATACTTTTATTGTTAGAAAGACAGTAACAATTTGCAGAAGACATTCAAGATGTTGTGCTGCCCTGGAGGAAACACTGCCTTCACACCAACAGCCAGGTTCCTGCAGCCCCTTTCTGGGCTTTTTGGCTCTCTCCATCGCCAGCTACATACCTTACCATTGGTATATTGTAATAAATATATATTTTTTATTTGTGCCAAGAGAGAAATGCTACAAAATGCAAAGTGAGTTTGAAATTGATAGTGACATTTGGACATCCATTCACATCTGTAAAACAATGTAGTTAGTTAAATGTTGCTTTAACCCAGAATAGGTCTGACTCAACGTAGTCATAAGAAAAAACAAACAAATTACTCCCTTAACATATTTATGCTGGTTATAGTAATAAGTTAAAATGTTACAGAG